ACATTTCCCTTAGCAATACCTGCCAGTGTTTTAACACTACAGGGCCCAATTGTTCACCTGCAGGAGTCAGTGAAATTTTCCCACTGACATCAGAGACAGCAGGATCAGGCCCCTAATTTTGAGAGAATTGAAGCCATCCTTAGAACAGCACATGCTCTGCTCTTCACTTTCTTTGATGACTTCTAACATTCTTTTGATGTGGACTCCAAAAAAGACATTTTCATCTTTGGAAATGTGTTTTTTAAAAGATGAAAAACGTTGAATAGCAGAGTGAGGACATTTTGTGTTTCAGGCCACAATCCTATTTAAGCTAAAACTTGCTAGTAACTATTAGATGAAAGAGACGAAAACGTAGAATAAAAATTGTTGGACAAACAAAATGAATAACAACAGACAGTTTTCAGACTTGTGGAAATACCGTACTGTTTGAATCATTGGTATGGACACACATGATATGCACTGGCATAGCATAAAAATGTCACTTACATCCTGGTGTCTGTCTGTGATTATGAGCAAGATATTTAATCATCGATCTTCTTGTGAGCATCCTTCTTCTGCTTCTCTGCACTCTGTAGAAAAAGTCAAGAAAAATGGGTAGGAGGGTGTAATGCCTCTTATAAATAGAAGCCCAGTGCTCTGGCATGATGGTGTGGAAGGAGGGGGAGAGGTATGTCAGGATTAGATTTGCTTAGGGTTTTCTTCTTAAGTGTTTTTCTTTAGAAAAAAAATGTGATGAAATCTGGATTAAAAAATAAATCCAGTGGTTAGACAACTGTGGAGGATGCATTGCACTACTGCAGGGTGTTGAGTTGTTGGAAACAAGCAGTTGATGGAATGTATTCATGTTGCTTAACATAGTATGCTGGAAAGATGCTCCAGTGTTACAATCATACATGTAGTATAAGCAATGAAATGGAATTGAATAGATAAAATTTCCTTGCAGAGGTTAAGGCTTTGACCTCAGTTCTAAACTGACACAATTTCCTTTTAATTTTGTCTTCCATCTGAATGATTAATTATTATCAAATATTCTTTAAGAGCATCTGTTAAACATAATTACTTTCCCTTCCACGTGTAAGTCAGGGTCTTTCTTTAAAAAAAAAAAAAATGCAGTTTATACTTAAATTAACTACTTTTATTTGCAGTTTGCAAGTTAAGGTACATGTAAAGCCTGTGGTTATACTCAAGGCTCAGTTGTGCCTCCTAGGCAAGTGTTAATTAAAGGGTGATGTGGATTTGTACCACTCTGAGAGGAACTCTGGAAGGGATTATACCTTAGAGAGACACAATGCCTCCAGTGCACCACAGCATGTAAGTAAAACGCACATGTTGTGCACTACCCGCGTTGATGTTGCTCAGCATCTCTGTGGGCCCATCTCCTTCCCACACTTCTTCATCCAATTCTCTGGGATTCGTACCTATGGGGCATCAGGAAGAAGCACTGTTGGCCAGTTCCTTCCTGCATGCCCAGGAAGGGATGATGCTGACATCCTCATTGTCGCTGACAGCTTTTCAGTCTGGATGCAGTCTGGCCAAGGATAAACAGAAATTGCCAAGTGTCATTTCCTAATTATAGTTTTTCTTTTTACTCATTGACAGGTCTTTTAAAGTCTGACAGCACATATAGAAGGCTTGACAGCTTCTTAAATCTTACCTGCACTTGTTCTACACAACTAATTTTTAATAATTCTATGTCCAGCAGCTGATTTTGTTCTAGATATTTTTCATCAGGGATTTTTTTTCCCTGGAGTAGCTCTCTTGACACCAATGAAGTTACGTATGATTTGCCCAGCACAAATAAGACCAGCATCAGAGCCTTAGACCTCTGTTTGAAAATACTGACAGTATCCAAAGGACATATTCCAATCTATATGTAAATAATGTCCATGATTAATTTAATGCACATTTAAGGGTTTTTCAAGGCCATATTACTCACTGAATTAAACGTACATTTTTGTAATGTATTATTGTTATTGTACATCCAATAGATCTATTACAGCCCAAGGTGATTTTTTATGACCAAGTAATAGACCACTGAAAATAGGATTTATTATAGAAATGCCAACACACCCTTATTTATAATATAACAATACAAATTGCTGCTGTAATAAATACTCTTCAGTTATCAAATCATTAATCTTTTATGGCAACACTGACAAATGACCACATAGGCAGTATGATATGACTAATGAAATGAATTAACTTTCAATTTTAAATTGGTTATTGGATCTGGAACAACTGTATGTTACACGGTGCTGTTTACATTTTGCATATCTGTATCACAAGATGTGACTGTATGTAGTCCTTTTGAATATCTACAAATGCAACATGCAAATGGTATCATTCTCAGCCCACAATCCAACACAGATCAATAGACTGCATCCACTTAGAGGAAGCTACTAGCAAGGAATGTGTAAAAGCAAAAATTTTTAAATCATGCCAAACCATTTTGGTAAGACATTATTAGTCCCAAGAGGAAACGGGTCAGTTGTTAAGAGATTATTAAAATCAAACAAAATAGAACAATTTAGAAAATTTGGCTGTTGGGGGGTTCTTTCTCTACCACATGTTTACTTCATGAGAATCTGCAGAATATGAGAATTCATGAGAATCGGCAGAATAAAATGTATTTTATATACATATATATATAAATATTAAAAAATATGTATATTTGATCTAGAAAAAGTGCAGAATCATGGTCCTTTGTAGAGATTCTACATTTGTATCAAGTAAAATAAAATCAGCAGGCAAGATTAAGAAAATTATAAAAGTGAGCTTTGCAAGGAGTATATCTTTGAACAATGAGATTGGCAAGTCTAATAATGTAAGAAATGTACACACTGTGACTTTTGATAGCTCAGAGCTGCAGATACATTTTTTTTACCCTCACAACAGCCGAATATTTTAGCAGTAGAAATCAAAATAAATTAACAAGCCATTATTGGTTGCAAAATGAGCAATTGTCCAGTACTACATAATTTTATCAATTTTATGCTTCAACATCAGCAGTAATTAATTCAGAACTTTAACTGCTGTTTTTAAGGCATCAAGAGTTGATTGGTAATAAATGAAAATATTCCTTTTTTCTTTCTTGATCAGTTAGAGAAGATGTATTTAAGAGAAACTTTGCACATATTTTCCAACAGCTGGTTAAGTGGGGTCATTTTTGCTGTCAATACAGTATGCGGATTTTAAAGAAAACTGAAGAGATTAGTGATAGGATGAGGTGAGGATTTTTTCTGTCTTATACTATGCCTTCTCCAACAAGATATACTCAGCTCAGGAAAAGTTTCTCCTTCATGGAGAATCATAGCTTCCTGCTCTTGGCTTACTATCCCTCCTTTTGTTCCCTGCCCAGCTTCAAGTCTCCCAAGTCACCCAGAGCAACTAACTGGTGATTTTCCGCCTGTGGTTACTTTTGGACTTATAATTGCTATCTCAACACCGGAGGGCAAGTCAAAACTCATTCTAGGAATCAGATTGTAAATGGGTTGCAATGATGCAACAGCTTCAAACAGCTGCCCATGCTCCATTCACGCTTGATTCTAAGCCCATTGAAGTTACTATGAATCTTTCCTTTGACGTCAATAGGCTTCAGATCATGTCCTGAGCATTTTTTAAAAACCTCAGACAAATCAAAACCATTTCCTTTGGAATGAGACTGTTCACGCCCTTTGGTGAAGACTATTTCCTTTCCAAACACAGTGTTCATACCAGAGTCATGTCAACTGTGATTTTATTTTATTTTTTTTTTAAATACCAAAGACTCCATTCTTTTAAAGAAGCAGCAAGCGTATTTTTTTTTAACTTACATTTCACCTGCTAGCAGCTAAACTGTTTTTGTTCAAACTTTCAAAAATATCCCCAGCTGAGCAGGCTAGATCTACAGCCAAACGTGGGGAACATTTTCAAAAGTTGCAATCTTTTAGAAAATTTGGAGATGGAAACCCCTTGCAGACCTAACCATAACAGTCATCATATTTCATTTGGTGAGGGGGCTTTTCCTGCATGTTGCCACCAGTAGACTCCAGTGAATCATTTATTCTCATATGACCTATTATATTATAGTAAATGCAGCTTGTGTAACAGAACCAACATAACATTAGCTCTCACACAACACAATGCTCTAAAGACTACATACGTTAATTCAAAAATGCTTCCAAAATGGAAGTAATTAAATGATAAGATGTAGATCTGGAGAGAATAGATGCTGCAGTAGTAGCCCTAGTAGTTGCAAGAAATGTCAATCTTGCTGCCAGACACACTCCTGCCTGGCCCCGTTTCTGCATAATAGTTTCCTGAGAGAGAGTGGAAGACTCTTGGATCATTTTGCTTATGGAAATCAAATGACAGAAAAATAACCTTACTGAACCCTTATGCTGACCACCAGGAGCGTGAAGTGTGCCACACACTGCCCTCCTTTTGATGACTATTTTGATGACTTGGTGTTGTGAATGTTCATTTCCTGGAAAGAGCAAAACTGGAAAGCTGGAAAGACATCTTCTGAAACACTATTTTGATATGCAGAGGAGGCCAAGCAGAGTAGCCTGATTTGAAATTTACTCCTCTGCGTAAGTGGATCTCCCATAAATTTCTGCTCTGGGACATCACTGACTAGTGGTCTGTAGTAACTATTTTGTAGACGGTGTTTCTTTTGTTGAATGCTGCAGTAGTAGCCCTAGTAGTTGCAAGAAGTGTCACTTTTGCTGTCAGACATACTCCTGCAGGGACACTGTTGTGTGCACCATACATCCTCCTGGAAAGGAGTGCTTGAAACTGCATTTTGGTCCATTTATTCAACATGCAGTTTTCTCTATCTTACTACTTACCTGGACATTTCTATATTGTTTCATCAATACAGTAACTCTGCTAAGGATATCGCTCTTTCAAGGGAGAAGTGTGTAAGCTTTCTTTGGTTCTTATTCTGAAATGACACATGGTTACTGGAAGGACCATTTCAATCAGATTAGGTGAGTTACCACAGAAAAATTAATGAGTCAAGCTGTATTTTCAAGTCAAGTGCAACCACAACAACCCTGCCTTAGTGATGGCCATTACCTATTTTATTTGTGACTATGCTGGGAAACAGCACTCTTTAAACTTTACTTCTTGAAGAATCTCCTAGGAAGACTTCTCGGCACATTCACTGGTGTGTTTCTGTTGTATTGATCCTCCATCCCTTGTAAGAACACGTGTGTAAAACAGATGGATAAGGTGATCATCTGCAATCACCCCACACCCCACCCCCGCCAATCATTTTCTGAGTATCCTGAAAAGGGAGAAGACATACCTCTCAGGGGCCCCAGATCTGTGATTGATTTTGGTGCAGAAGCAAAAGCACATGTTTTGCAGGCGAAGAATCTAGATCCTGTGGGAAAGCTTAGAATGCACAGTAGTCTCAAGTAGAAGCTGAGTAAGTGAGATAAAGCCCAAAGATGGTTCCCTGGAGCCCACTATTAGAAGAATTGTCCAAGCTATATAGTAGACAATCCTGGGATGAGAGAAATCAAAGAACTGAGTACAGAAATATAAACTAAGAAAGTGCTCCCAGAATGAAAACAGCTAAGAAGCCTGGAAATGCTTGTCATCTACTGCTTCTGGACTGCATCGCTTTCTTCTATGGTAATGAAAGACCAGCTCTGAGGAAAAGTCACTGTCCAAAAGCTATACTAGCTGGGTCTAGCACTCCAGTAGGGGGAAACAGAAGGGACAGAGATGATTAGGTTGCCATAATATGCCTCCAAAATAAGTACCACACCTCAAATAAAAAAACAAACAAACAAGCAAACCATGAAGTATAAAATGAGCCTTGAAGGCAGTGCAGGGGGTCACAAGTTTTTTTGGTGTGAGGGTCTTAGTGGCCTCAGCTGATGTCAATTTAAAGAGACAAATTAATACACCAGAAGCACGAAAATAATGTGGTGTTATTCCCTGAGGTATGAATAGCTCATCAGACAGTTATTGGTTTGGTGTTTTGTTTTTTTTTTTTTTTTTTGGTTTTTTTTTTTCAGTTAAGGGGAAAAAAAAAAAGAAAAAAAAAAAAAAAACACCTCCTCTCAAAACAACAGAAAAGTCTCCAAACAAAAAACACCACAGTTCCTCTGAGTATGAATTTAACCAACTGGTTTCCTGGCTCTATTGAGTGTTTTTAATCCCAGAAGAAAACCTGACTTGCTTATCCAGCTAATTGGGACCTTGCTTGTATTATGTCAGTTCAGCAATCCTAAAGAAAAAGGCTACAAACACACACACAAAAAAAAAAGAAGGAAAAAACAGGCAGCCATCCTGTGGGTTTAAGAATTTCCCTAGCAGATACTGGATTCCCAGTTCTAACTCATTTCTTTAAACAGCACTGGTGAACATCAAAGAGTACAGCTCAGAGCATGCTGAGTCCCAATTACACACCTCGAAAGTAAACGTTACGTCAATGGAAAGTCTTCAGAAATTCCAAACGAAACACAGGCTGAGATGTCCAAATGCTCCTTAAGAATTGCAGACCCTTTCTTTACTGATAACGATTGCTTCATTAAAATGCATAGTTTTTAAAACACAAAACTACATCACTCCATGAAAAATTTTTAGAAATATTTTAAAGCACATATGGATATTATTACTGTTTGCAAGATATTAGGAAAAGAAGCGTCAAATAATTAATTTCATTGCATTTCTTTTGCTTTTAACAAGCCATCTTTAGAGACAGGAAATCTTTTCTGAACACAGCTCGTGTTTCAAAGGAGAAATAGAATTTGTACAAATAATTGGTGCATGTTGGAGTCTGAGGAGCATGAGTTGTGTCATTAAAAAAAAGAAAGCAGCCTTTAAAAGCTGTGTAAACTCTCTGTAGCTAAATACAAGTTCAAAGACATATCTCTTTCACATCACTTACCAAAAAATCATGGCCACAACAGTCTTTGATTGTTGGGTGGGATTTTTTTTTTTCCTCCCCACAGTAACGCACAGATGCAATGAAAAAAAATACCAATGTTGCCATAAAATTCAAATAAGTAATGAATTAAAAAAATAGGTACAGTGAGTGGTCTTTTGTTTCCATTGTGCTTTCTCGCTAGCCATCATCCCAGTGCTCACATGGGTACTAATGTCAAATGTACCTTCTCGCAAATGTATCCAGTGAACTGAGTATAGCAGAAGAAAAAGTGGAAGAATATTTTAGTTTATTACAATAGTGGAAAAACTTTCACAAAAATTTATATGCTATAATATATATGTTCTACTATATCACTTCAGAAAATATATCAGTTACATAGAACTGCTTCTTTATATGCTTCATTAATCCTCTATATTAAACTTCCAATAAAGTTTTGTATCCCCAGATGTATAGAGTACTGATATTTAGCTCATTTCACCTCATCTTCCTTCTGGAACAGAAAGTTCTATTCATCACATAGTTCTGGTCTTCTAAAAAAGTAGAACAGGTCTTTCCTAAAGAACTGAAATTAACCCAGAAGATTGTTGGAGTGCATTCAACCTCTCTCTTTTATTATCATCTTTATTCAAGTCTGAGTGCATTGCAACTGAAAGTTTTAAGGTATAGGAGATGTATCAATTCTACAAAATAGCAGATATTCCTAATAAATACCTTTTTGGATAGCATAATGCATAATTTTAGAGGGCATAAATAGTTGGAATACTTTGAAGTATTCAAAATGTGTCACAGTACCTGAAGCGTAAAATAATCATTTGTTATTACGTCTAGATCTTTGTCAGAGTTAGTGTTTTTCACTTAGTCTTCATTGCTTTCTAGTTATCTTCCTCTCCTTGCTTTTCTATTATGTTACATTCCTTTTGATTCCACTTTCAATCTCATTTCTTCATTTCATAGAATATTAGAGTAGGAAGGGACATCTGAGGTCAATTTAGATAACTCCCCTGCAATGAACAGCGACACCACAGCTAGGGTCAGGTTAATAAAAAAAAAAAAAAAAGTGTTTTTCTCTTTCAACCCAGGACCATCGTATCTTTCTTCATTGTAATGATTTTCTCTATTTATTCATTTTGCTTTTCTTCTTCAATAGCTCTGTCAACCAAAATTCAATAATTTCCTTTTGAAAAGCATGAATGATAAAATTAGAAGGGGTAGAATATACATGGGGTTTCATACTAAAAGCAACAACTGTAAATGGCATGGTATAAAATTCATTGATCATTAAGAACTTTTTGCTTTTACAAAACAACCTATGATAAATCCCTTTCATGAGGATGGCTCTATTATTATGTGAAAAACAGCAGAAGGTTGCCCAGATACACCCATGCTGCCTGACCTGAGCATTGGTACTGTTGGCACGCAGTGCCAAAAGAGACAAGGTGGGGAGCCAGCAGCTGGGAGCGTAGCACAAGTGCTCAGCAGTTGCTGCATGCTCTTTTCAAGAAAATATGTAGATAAAGTAGTATTTTCTGTATTTCTGCTTGGCTCAGCAGGCAGTCATTAGGAGGGTTCTTATGCATTTCAATCAGGTGTGGCCAATTAGATATGGGCAAATGCAGGTTTGGCAGACCCTAAAAACATCTGCATCAAGGTAGTCAGGTAGCAGTACTGAAGCTAAAACAGAGAAAGCATACAGCAGGGAGGCAATGCACAGTAAAACATGAGGAGCTCTGAACTTCATGTTCTTTTCTTCACCCCTCTTCCCCCTCCCCCACATACTTTCAATCATTTCTGAAATTGTTCAGAACTGTCAGTAAATGCTGAATCCAGACAACTGGCAGAAGTTCCTACAAGTCTTAGTACACTGTCCTCATCTATGTGTAATGATGAGGGTTGCTGTAGGTACAGGCTTATGTGGATGGGTTTCCTACCATGAAGGCTAATTTTTTGTTCTGTTCAGGAAGCCTTGAGTCGCAAACCACAACTCAATAGTCATTCCTTGTGGCCCAGTATCAACTTCAACACAATCCAAACCACAATCCAAATCGTGAGATTAATTAGCTTTCTTCTTTTTCACTAGAATGGAACATTTTATGATTGCTTATGTTTCTAAGTTCTTCAGTACTTGTTCTATCAGGTGCTCAAAAAGGAGAAGTTGGTTCTTAATTGGTATGTAAACATGACGAGGTTATTTTGTGCGTGTCTCTTGTTCAATATTAATACAATATCTCATAATGTCTCTGCTGCTTTACAGCAAATCACCAGTTTCAGGACTGTCATGTCAGGAAAACTTGCTTTTAAAGTTGCACTGGAAAGGATTATTTAGCTTAGAGTTAATAGGATGGCCCTATGCCTAGACGATACCAGAATTCTTGCTATTACCAATGTATAAGAAATTTTCCCTTAGCACACTGGTACGAGACAAGTACAGCCAACTTCACCTTTTGGGTTGGTTAGTTCACACTGCAGTATATGCAACTTCTGGCAAACTGCAGTGCACTCAGCTCATTTTTTGAAAAAAGGAAAGATCTAATACATCTTTACGGACCACTAATATTAAAAAGATATTATTCAAAGTGTCTTTTAAAGCTCTCTAATTTCTTGTGACAGTTTTACCATTCTTTGCTACCACAACACTACCACAACAAACTCAGATACTCCAATAGATGTATTCCCTGAACCTACAAAATATTTCTGCATTATAATCCTACAACTCCCTCAATTATTCATATACATAGAGAGCTCTGGACTTGCCTTCTTCATTTCCTATGCGCTTAAGCAGAGAATTCACATCAGTACTTCCACATTTCTGCCCAGGATTTCCCAGACACAAATATGTGTTCACATACCCTTAAAATATTTGAGGTATGCACCATAAATCCATTACTTTCATAGCATATCAGAACTTGTGAATGTGCAGAAAAACTGGACACCACATGCTGCATAGTTACATTGTCTCCTGGAAAAAGCAGCTGCGCTGGGAGCATCAGAACCACCAGGCAACTCCTCCTCAGATCCACCTGCAGCTGCACTGTAATCCTGCAGGACAGCAAACCTGAGTCATTCTGACTAAACAGAGTAAGACTAGGAGCTGAGCCAGCCACTTCTGTTCTTAAAACAAGACTCTGGTCTTTGAAAATGGGTGTTACCATAGATCAAACAGACCTAACAAGTGATTGAGCATGCTTTAAGGATAAGGATAATAACAAACACATCAAGAAACCTATGAATGAATTAAGCCAATAGAAATAAGCAGAGCAAAAACACACACGTATCTTCACAGTCACTCTGGGGAAAGATAATATTTACAACAGATGTTCAGCTCCTTTTCTGCTATTCCAAATTCCAGAAAATAAGCAGTTTTTTGGCAATATCACCATACACACTCAAGGTGTTTAGGAAGTATGTATGCTCTTTAAAAAGCTGAAATTAATGTTGTGATGAGGAAAAAAAGACAAAACTGTGTAAGAGGAAGGTCCTGGAATAAGCTCTGCCAATGAGACAGCTGCTGGAGTGCTTCTTTAGCCTCCCAGCACCATGTGCAGTCAGACTCAGCAAGCCCAGCAGCAGGCACAAGGAAGCAGCTGAGCCAAGAGGAAACATGCACAGGGCAGATCTCAGGTTGTCAGAAGACTGGTCTTTTGCATCTTAGTAAAGAAGTTTTGCTATTTCAGGAAAATTCTATGTTATTATTCAGAAATGAGATACTAGATGTACAACATTTAAAAGCTGATATGTGATGCAAAGTTCCAAAAGCAGTGTTACTCATTCTTATTGGACAGTTCTGATAAAAGTATGGATGAAGAACATCATGCATCTTCATTGCTTTAATACACAGTATGAAGAAACAGCTCTAGAGCACAGGACACAAATGGAGCTTTAGATTAGCTGTCAACAATGTCATATCCATGTTAATAATGCCCTACTCATGCCTGAGGCTGACACTCTCTCTTATTTTTATTCACAAATTCCATTTAATAACAGCAATAAGTCACTCTAGACAGTGCATTTCTAAGGGATTTTTGCACTTCTCAGGTGGTTAAAGTCACTTGACCTTCGGCCTCATGCCTTAAAAACTCCCTGAGAGATGTGCTAAATTGCCCAGAAATACATGGCCTGTCATGTCTTGTTGCTTAATTAAGGGCCAACCTAGATGGCCTATAAGGACTGCCCTTAAGTAATTACTAATTGATCTCCTACTCGAGAAAAATGAATAAATTCCACAGCAGCCACAGTGTCACATGGCATTTACTCAAATTCATATTCCTCCAGTGGAGAATGAAAAGCACATAGGGAATGGGTAGATTGAGGGTAGAACATTTTTTGAGCTGCTAACGCCCAGTCCAGAGTTTGTCATGTTTCATTGGCTGCTACAGCCAATAGCTCTCAAACACTTTGCATCTGTTGAGACAGAAAATATTTCTTTAAAGCCAGAGTTTTTTAGAAACTACAAAATACCTAAAAATTTTCCATCTGTAGCTGTTTTGAAAGATAGTTCATCTTCATTACAAATACCTAACGGAGGAATCACAGGCAGGATGATAAATTGTCACCTGCTTCTGGAAGCACAAAATTATAGTCTACCAAAATAGCCAGAGGAAAACACATTTCAAAGTTCTGTGAAGAAAGGAGATGGGGTTTAGGTAGGAATAAGAAAGGTTCTTGCAGTTTTTTTGTTAAATCTCATTTATCAGAGTCCGTGAAACAGACTTCCTGGACTTCTTGTATTTTGCATCTAAAGCTGAAAATAGTCCAAAAAAGAAAAAAAAAAAACACACACACACACAGAGGTATCTTCTGGTTTTGTAAGAGAATGCAAATGCTTTGGACTTCACCGCAAATGTTAAACATGCACATGAAGTTGTTTTGCAGTATAAGGAGTATGAATGCTATGCTTTCAAGATCTGTATATATAACGTCATTTATTGACCTTTAATTACTCTGAGCAGAAGTGCACTTAACCTGTCAAAGCAATTTGTACTTAAAAAAAAAAAAAAAAAAAAAAAAAAAAAAAAAAAAAGACATAGAATCAGCTGAGGGAACCGGAGCTGTTTAGTTGTGAGAGAAGC